CCACGAAGCTAGTCAGACTGACTGGCCTATAATTGGCTGACAGACTCCTGTCGCCACTTTTGAAGGTAGGACAGATGACAGCCTCCTTCCATTCAGAAGATAATGTACAGCTGTCAAGTGACTTCTGAAACACCATCGTCAGCGGTCCACTTAGTTCCACCGCCAACTCATGCAGGAGCTTCGGGTGAATTGAATGAAGTCCAGCTGTTTTGGAAGGGTTCAGTTCTTGCAGCGGTTTAAGGACTTGCGTTTCCACCACAGTAAACTCAGATAAATAAGAACCCTCACGTACTCTGGGGACAAGTTCAACGGTAGTCAACGCGGCCTCACCTACAAAAGCTTCTGTATACTGCTCCCCAAGTACACGAGCCTTATCTGAGTCCGCATACGCACGAGTTCCATCGACCCACATCAAATTTGGGATTACCGAATTTGAACCCCAGCGTCCCTTAACATAAGAGAAGAAATTCTTCGGATTTTCCGAAGCTGCATCAGCCAAGTCCTTTTCGTGCAACAGCCGAGCTTTCCCTAAGTGTTGCTTACACCTATTTCTAGCCTCGCGGTATCTATCATAGGTGATAGTTGATGGAGCCGCACGGTAGGTCCTCCAGCACCTAGAACGCTTCTGGAGTAGGTATTTGCCAGTGGTATCTATCCACGGCGGCCGCGCTCGTGTCTACTTTCTCCTCGCAAGCGGGATGTAGGGAGTGAACACTTCCGTGAGATAAGACGTAAATTTATCCCAGGTCGCCGGAACCGTATCAACCACCGAGATTTCGCAACGCATCCCAGCAGCCTTGATACGCATTGCCTGATACTTAGCACGCCATATGTTTGGAAATGACTTAGCAATGCTCTGGTGACGCCTGGTCAGAATACACCTGAACGATAAACAAACATGAGCACTAGCACCTAAGGGAGAGCTGTAAGTGATGTCACCTACGAAGTCTAGTGACTTGGCAAACACTAGATCCAAAATAGACGGGAGTTGGGTATCCATGTACCTAGTGGGGAGGTGCACGAACTGATGCAACGGCACTTGTAGCGTAAGCTCACGTTGATCTGCACCGAAAGTACCTTCTGCCGATTTGCAAGAATGATCTGCCCAGCAAACTTCTGGTAGATTGAAATCCCCCAGTATCAAACACCTGTTTGCGGATTGGGAGCGAATAAAGTCAAGCACCTATTTGGACACACTCCCAGGGCTTCTGTACACAAGTACACCTGTAATTTGAGCTGAGGAAGTGCTAATCACTGCCGACAGAGCTTCGACAGTTTTATCTGCCGACTGAAACATGTAGGTAGGTGAAACGTCAAGTTCCATCTAACCTAAAGCGCAACGCCCCCGCCTTGTCGGCCAACGAAGCGATCACATCTAAATAGTGCGTAGCCAGACAGATGCACTTCACCTTCCGTGATGTCCCTAGACAGCCACGTTTCAGTGAATGCAAGTATATCGGGATGAGACCCATCTACAAGCAAACCTATCTCGCACATCTTATTCCTTAGGCTCCGAACATTGCTTAGCACTGAAGGTACTCGTAATGTCCAGCCCTGGGTCGTGCGCTGCCAGTACTGGCACTGGTAGGGCGGAAACAGACCGCCGGCTGACCACCCGAAAACCCACCAACCGGAGACCTTGTTCACCGGCCGCTCGCCTGGTTTGGAGGTCCTTACTGGTTTCTTTTATCTTCTGCCTATCCGCTAATGGGAGGTCTGACTGAACGCTAACATTAGTACCCTTCAATTTGTAGGCAAAACGCAACAGCGCGTTGCGTTCCTCCGGGGTGGATAGGACTACCCGAACTAAACGCGGTCGAGGGTTTGGGGCGTTAACTGGGACGTTACCCAATCTAGTCAGTTTCCTGACAGTAACACCGGAAAACCAAGGCGGAAGAAGCTTCGTTAAGCCCATCTTAAACCACTGTAGGTCGTCCAATGTACGTTCGGCAGGAAGTGCAGCAGTGAATTCCACTGCGTTACGAAATATCACGCTGCTATCCATGAAAGAATCACCTCGATGGGGTGTATTTACCCCACGGGTTTTGGAACTTATATGAACAGCGACCGGCTTAGCCGCAGGCAGTGAGACTGCGCGCAAGTTATCAGACGACGCTGAAGCAACTGTAGCTTAGATCTTACGCTCTACCTTGTTTGTCCTGTCATTATTGACGCTTTACGTACCTGCCTGAGGAGTACAGGCAGTTCTGTTCCGATTTTTCTTTCCTCCTGCAGGCGAAGAAGCCCGTGACTCAACGTCCATGCCCGCCTCCACGACCTGTATCCCCGGAAGACAGGATGAGGTGTTTGGAGTAGGCACCGCAGTTTGAGTAGCACGCGATGGGGACATCTGGGGTTTTTCACCCCCTGCCAGCACAACCTTAGGTGAAACTGAGGGAATTTCATCACCATGTGGTGTTTTCCGCTCAGGCGGTTGCATCTTGAGCGACCTCTCATCTCGCGGTTTGGGTGCGGAGGGTTTGCGCACTTTTCTTGCCCCCTTTCGTCTATTCTTTTCTGGCCCAGGATCCCGTGACTCGCCCTCCATTTGTGGAGGGTCAACAATTCCGTCCGAGGCATATGAGTCAGTTATCTCAATGTGTACTGGAGCGCCCGGTAAGATGAACGACCCATCAAGGGATGGACTGTCAGCAAGGGGACAGACCACAACAGAGTACTCATTTGCAATACTCAGGTAATTCATAATCTAGTCCACTTTAGAGTTGAGCGAGGCAAGCCCGACTAATGCCTTCTCAACCACTGTGAACCTGGGTGCCAGTGCCTTAAATTCAGCACAGATGATAGCCGGGCACTTCGTTTTCTGAGTGCAGCCATCAGCACATCTAAACAGAAGGTTTTCACTGGATGATAGCATAGTGCACTGATTCGCTCGGAGGCCGGTGCAACTTTGTGATACCAGCGGAAGAAAACATCACACTACATACCACCAGATGAATCCATAACTGGTCTTGAACAGGCAGAATTGCCGCAAGCTGCATTGGACTCATCAATCGAGGACCCAAAGATTTAGTCCACGTCGGATATTAGCGAGATGACCATGTTTAAAGTGAAAAACAGAGCAGAATTTAAAAATACGCATACAACAGTAAAACAACCGCAAAAATGCAAAACAGGGTGTGAAACGGGATTAAAAAGGGGAACAACCGCAAAAATTACCAGTATGCGTCAAGGAGACGCAATGTCCAATAGTACTTTAATCGATCCAAGTATCATGCATCAGAGGAAATTTGGCAACAGTCAAATTTCGCTTCGTTTTTATACAAACACCATTTTCCACAATAGTTCAGCTAGAAAACTCGATCAGTTTGACACGCCAAAAAATCGAGTTACCGCGTAGAACTCACAGTATCCGGAATGCGGCAACCATAGAGGAATCAGTCTGGTCTCCATCGCCTTCAAATTGCTTGCTTCTGTCATCTTTCATAGATTGACTGGTACTCGTGAAAGCCATATTCGTGCAGAGCAAACAAGATTTCGTCGACCTCGTGACTGCATTGACCACATCTTCACTTTGCGTCTGTTGTTGGAGCAACGTCACATGTATTGGCGGCCCACAGTTGTCGTGTTCCTCGACATCAAAAGTGCGTTCCATTCGGTGGATTGACGTGCACTTTGGAACTGTCTACTCAGGAAACGTTTACCTGAGAAATATGTAAATATTATCCGGGCATTATATGCGCGTAGCTCAGGCAGAGTGAGGGCTTACGGCAAGCTGGCGTCGCCCTTTAATATCTCCAGCGGTGTTAGACAAGGATGCCCGTTATCACCTTTCCTCTTCAACTTCGCCATTGATGAAGTCATGGAAATCGCGTTTACAGGGCACGGCTTAGAAGGTGTGGATCTTCTCCCAGGATAACGGCTTCTTGACTTAGAGTATGCTGATGATATTGCCCTAATCTGTGACAGCTCACAAACGTGCCAAGCGGCGCTGGACAGATTAGCACTAGCTGTCTGTCACCTCGGGCTTTCCTTCACACCCTCGAAGTGCAAAGCTTTCCTCCAAGATTGGCAGGGATCGCCTCCTGCGCTGACCATCGCTGGGGATCAGCTAGAAGTCGTTCACAAATTCAACTACCCGGAAAGTTGTATCAGCGCCATCTGGATTGAAGATGAGATCACGAACCCTATAGCAAAAGCTCGGGGCGCTTTTGCTAATCTTCGCCACTTATGGCGCCGGCGCGACATCACTCTTGCCTTGAAGGGTAGAGTGTACAATGCAGTGGTATATACGATCCTACTGTACGGCTGTGAAACCTGGCCCCTTAAAGCAGCGGACCTGAAGAGGTTAGTTACGTTCGATTACCGATGCTTTCGCGATTTAGCTCACATTTTGTGGGAACACCGAGTTAGCAACGAGCGTGTTCGATGCCTTGTTTACGGCACAGGAAAAGGAAATGAAGCGCTCAGTACCGTTATTTCGCGCACCAGGCTCCGATGGTTCGGCCACGTGTTACGCATGCCAGCCCACCGATTCCCGCGACGTGCTTTGTTTGCGTGCCGTGGGTGTGGTTAGAAGAAGAGGAGATGTGGCGAAGCGATGGCTTGGTTGAGAGGAATGAAGGCCCTCACTTCTGAGCTGGCCTCGGTTGGAGCGTCTTGACTCTGATTTGGGTCGGAAAGATGAAGAACACGTTTGGCTGGATACACTTGCTGATATGGCTAGGAGCCGACCTCAGTGGCGTTCGTGCTCTGAGTTTCCTTGTCCTACCCCATCTCTCTTAGCCTCCCCCTCCAAGCGCGATCTCATTATTAAGCCTCATATAATTTTGGATAGTAATGTTTTGCTTCATATTAGCCGGCAGATAGCTTATTGGAACGATGCCCATCCGTTACCGGTAACTCGGCCGGCTTGCAGCAGTTGCATTTTTCTCCTTTTTTCTATGTATTGCGGCACAGTAGCTGAGATGTTTCACACGTCTAACTAACGTGTATGATGATGGTGATAATGTGGGACTATTAGACGCGTATACTGCCTCTAGCTATCGCCATGTCAATGGATCAAATAAGAATAATTTCTCAGAACGATAGTTTACATTATGTTCGGCCGCCCCACCGCACACCGACTCTGCACGAGGAAAATGCATGAAAGATCTACACACATTAGCGAATGCCAAGCGGTCATACATCATCTTATGTTGACCAACATTCTACCAATAAATGATATCTTCCAGGTGCACAAAGTGGTTCGTCATTTAATCCGTGGAGACTCAGTCAGCAACAGCAGCAAGGCAGTGTCCACAGTTATTGTTAATCACCTGGGTAGGTTCTGTCCTAATGACTATCACGTCTGCAATAGGCGAATAGATTTGGATTAGCAATATCATGTTTATGCTGAATGTGCTTGGAAATCCTTGTCGACGTCTTGGCAGCAGTGAAACAAACTATCGTTTCCCCATAAGTATCGTCAGTTATGTGGATAAGCGAGTAAGTTACGTAAGAGCCGTTGTGTCGAGCAGTGACTCAAACAGTAGTTGTAGATTTGCTCATGGACCCCAACTACCTGGACGTGTAAAGCTATTATCTTACCAGATATCTTAATTGATGCGAGCCTTCTTTCCTCTGAATTTGTCATGCAGTTCGAGTAACTATTGCCTTCCGTTAGTCTTGCTAATCATAAGTGTGTATCCAGGTTGAAGTATTATGGTACTATATGATTAATAACCTTACAATCTTTTCGTGTCTAATATTACAAGAGTTATAGCTATTCATTTGCTGGTGTGTATATGGTTCTGTACATGGCATGGGTATGGAGCGGGTACGGCATAACCACCGCCTTGTGTGCGCTTGATTCCCCAAATACAGCGTGCTTATGTTAGTTTGTGAAAGATTGTGGGCCGGCTCCGTTAATGAAACATGGCCCCCATCCGCAAGCCTCTCGGTCTTATTGCTTCGGGTTTATGCGAATTTGGGGTATGTAGGTGGAACTGTGGTTGGTGCAGCGCAAGCCACTCATGGTCCCTTTGTTGGCGCAGGCCGTCTGTGGCTGTCCTAAGGAGGTCGAATTGACAAGCAACTCCGGAACCGGATGCCGCCAACCGTGTATCTAACTACGAAAGGCACACCCGAATTGGAGGGTTAATTTGGACCATACCTTGCGTGATTGGATTGCAACGCACAATCTCAATGTAAACCGCGGTTCACATTGAAGTGAACCTTGGGCACTACGATCACATGCACAGTAGCCGAAACAAATGGAAATTGAGTGCTGACCACCCGCTAACCGGAGCACGCCAGACAACAAGCCGCTTTCAGTCAACACCGGGAACTTACCGACACACTTGGAGGTTGGGTAATCAGCCCACGTAAATCCATCGGGACAAGCGCACAAGTGACTTCCGTTTGTGTTGACACAACGAGCTCGGGGGTCAGGGCAAGCACTGTCGGAGCCAAATAACAAGCATTCATCCACATCTAAAATAAAGGAATATCGGTGGGGGTAGGAAAATAAAAGATAAAAATATGTCACAGGTTTGCGTGTACATTGCACTAGAAGATGGTAAGTTGGACCGTAAAGTTTGTAACATACGTTCAAAGGATCGCGGTTCGACAGACATTAAACAAAAAAGCCTAAAGTAAATTGACCCTAAACGAGCTAGCGATAAAGCATGCCTCGCTTAAAGTAATCGTTTATGACCGGAGGGTGAAACTGTGCTCCACAACGCCGTCCAAATCACCCTCACACATCATTTATTTTGCTGATAAACAAGGTTTCTTTCGAACAATATTGAACCGAAGGATTCTATGTATAGGAATGACGAAGCAAAACAACCCAAGCATAAACGAGGTTGCCGGGCAGTATGTGGTTTCTGTTGAAAAACCAGTTGTTATTCTGCGTGCAGCAAGAAGGTGATTCAAAGAAGATACTTTGTATGTCAACTTCAATCGCACAAGACATTACCAGCAATAACATCTTCTCCCGATTAATTGCATTACTAGTCCAATTAAATGGCGCCATAAGGCATTGACCTGCATCCACAAGCCAGCTGAAAATCACCTTTAACGCATGAGAACTGCATCTGACATATTTTCGCCGCGCTTGCGCGCGCAGTGTCCTTGGAATTTGAATTAGCCCAAATCAGAAAATGACGGCATAAAATAACCCTTCCATAGACGCATGCAATGGTAATACTTGGTGAAGACCCATAGACCTACTTTAAAATATTACATGCACGTCACCGCATTGTACCAAAGTTTTAGCGTGGCACATTTGCGAATTCGTGTACAGTGCTTTCACATTATCCAGGCTAAGAACGCTGTTTTGTTGTCCTTGACACTCTCATTGGTCATGGGAGGTTAGCCAATGGGACACCGGTTGGAAGCTCGCAGCATAAGCGACGGACAGTAAAATGAAAGTGGTCGGGCACCAACTTCTGTTCTATTTTGATGCCTATCTGAGGGAAACCTCGATGATTGGTCTCCAAACTGAAACCCACCAATGGGCAACTTGTGATGCCTGTCTGAGGAGGAGATCCTAGCTACCATATGATCCGAAGCTTAAGACGTAACCACTGCGGTCAGACATACTAACCAGCACATGAAGCGGTCTATACTTAGTGATCGCTAGCGGCTACCTGATGGTGGCTTATTCAGCGGCCTAACCATTGTGGCGTAGACAGGTAATCTTCTAACTTAGCATTCCGCAGTTCAGCAATGGTTGCTAAGCGGTTATACAATTCTGTGCGATTGTTATTGCGACGATCATGGGGGGACATTCTTCTCATTGAAGTTGGTAGACCAACCTTAACCTAAACAACGAAACTTCTATGCTTGCTTACTTCTATCACAGTTGCTGACTAAACACAAAATAAGAGGATTCCAAGTGTGGCGTGGACACGACGTTAGTGAGTGTTCGTTTGTCTCCACACCTATGGGCGACTTTGTTATACAGTTATCGCTTCAGTGTCTCCATGTATGGTATTACATAAAGGTCATAGGAACCTATGTATTCATAAGATAATTAGGCTTCACTTCCATACGGTCGCCCATATGTGTTGAGACGCTTTGACAATTGGCTCTCCGAATGGCACCATTAGAAGCACAGTCAATGCAGATGGAAACTCCCTATTACGTCCATGGACTGGAATGCTATCCTCATGAAATCGGCGTTACTCAACAAAGAGACACCTAAACGGGCTACAATGGCTACGGTATTTATACATGCCACATCGCCCTGCTAAAAAAAACGCAAGGTTGTTAACTAGTGGCGACGCACGTATTTCACTCTGGTAATTCAGGTGAGTACTTGGAACAGACAAACACTATTGTCTCCCTCACGGGCGTTCCTACAATGTGTTTGCAATCATTTCCAAAGACAACCGCGCCCACTAATCCTGCCATGGACCACTGTTTCAGCTAGTCTTAGAAGCAGTCATGTGTGCACGCGTGATGCAGGTTGTTCTCGACTTGGCAACTACTCGGAAACATTTTGTCATTGGAAAGTAGTTAATTCCGGAGGCATGGTTGAAGGAGGAAAATTGCTCCAACCTCTATGCTTACTATGCGTATGCAATGCTCGTTGGCAGATCATATCAGGGCCGTAGGGTCACTTGGTATTTCAAGCTTATCAATCACTTGGAAGTGAATTGTAAATATCATGTTAAAACACAGGATTGACATGCATCTTACGCCCTTAAGATAACGGCAGTTCCATGTGTCCTGTAGCGGTAACTGATTACCCAAGTGGCCCACAGGTGTGGAGACGAACGAACACTCACTAATGTCGTGTCACAGCCACACTAGGAACCCTCATCTTTGGAACAAAGGCTGTAGATCCCCCGATGGTCTTACCTACTCAGCGAACTTGACCTTGGTATACAATGAGCCGACTACATCAGCAGTACGTAGCTACGCTATTCACATGAGTGTACGGCCAAGTGAAAACACACAGCATGAGAATGTTGTAGCTATTAAGGTTTTAAAAATTCTATTTGCGAAGAAGTTCTAGCTTTATCTCCTTCATACGAATTGTTGCATTGTTTCTGATTACCTCACACTGCCTTAGCAATCAGACGCATATCCAAATCGAAATGGCACACCTATCGATTCTCCAGATTGCTCACAGTGGCACGATTACACTATGCATACCGTATCACGTGTGGCCAGATAGGCAAACGAGCAAGGAAGGCAACCGTGAAGTTAACCCGGAAGCCTTCGCAGCTTCTCTTCCAACAGCCTGCAAGCGTTGCAGCCTTAACAAAAACTACCAATCCGCTTCTCATTACCACTCAGTTAGATGTCATCTCACTCGCGTGTTAGTGAAACCTGACGCCAGGTTGGCAGCATGACCAAGCACGTACTACGTCTCCCATTGGCTGATCACACTCGACACGACGACGAAACCGCTGGTGAACCAGTACTATCGATCGCTTCATTTGATAGTTTACCCGTTCGTTCGCACTCATAGCCGAGTAAACTTCTCGTGTGCTCTGGACCACATTGGTCCGCAGCGTATCACGCAATGCACTTTGGGGTCGAGTCTGCGGCCACACCAAAGGGAAGACTAACAAGTTTGACTCTGTGCGCGCCCGCAGTCATATGGATGCATTTGGTCAAGTCAACCATCATCTCCTCATTTATCAGGATTTGTTCCAGTAATGATGACTTGTAAGAACCGCGGTGACTTGTTGGTCTACCCACATGATTATACAAAACTGCCACATCCATGAATTCATGGAGTTTTGATTTAAATGATGGTCTATTAGGGGACATTGAGTCAATTGCAGGTTTGTTGAATCCATCCATTATAAGGTAGTGTGAAGATATTTTTGTACCAGCATAGTGGAGTGCGTTTAATGGAAGTGTCATCATTGTCTGCGGAGGAGTTCGGTGGCTTGTAGACAACGGCAAGAGGCAAGAATCCCTCGTCCTCCTCTGTTATCCACCATCTCGACCTGCTAGCTGCAGTCGGTAACATAATGAATCAGGGATAACAAGCAAAGGTTCTCTAATGGCCTCACATATAGAGTAATCTTGATAGTAACTGGCAACACCGCTACTGCGAGATGGACGATCCATTCAAATGACTGGCATCCCACTGAATTTAATTCTTGGGTTCAATTGTTCGCCGAGCTTCGTAATTGGTATGCAGACGTTTCATCACCATGCGAGGTGACTTCCTCAGTGATGATGAAACGTCTGCATACCAATTACGAAGCTCGGCGAACAATTGAACCCAAGAACGATCAACCCGGGCTACCAGTACATCAAGTCATTTTAAACTGAATTTAATATCTGTACCCTGTATGTCGTTTGACAGTCAAGTTGCAGTCATTGCTACGATGCCCAATTTGATGTATTATGTTGACGGCGTACATCTGGCATCTTAAAGTAGAGGTCCTGAGCGTTCGTGCAGCCACTTCTGATTGTTGACGAATTAGGAGCTCGGTTGGCTGTGGGTGACCGACACAAATAGTGTCGGTCTTTGAGTTTTTTGAAAGGTGTGTTTTTAAAGTAGAATAGTCCGAGGTAGGAAAAACCGAGATTGACTCATCGGTAACTGGGTTTGCATTACTTGGAGGAGTGGGCTAAAGCGTACCTATGGAGGCCCAAGTTTCCTGTTGTCATGTCACGCTTGGTTTGTCATCGTTTCCACCTTGGGCATACCCATGGTAGTTCGGGGAGGAAACTAGACAGGTGACGTCAAAGGCGACGATATTTCGCGTTATACGGCTTTCTGTCATGTACTTCTACTCTTCGATGTTCTGTTTTGTCATTCGCATTGTTGGCATACTTTACTTCTGGTACACCACGAACCGGTGCCACTTTATTCGCTCATTTTGTCGTGATCGTTGATCGTTAGGTTAAGCAATATTACGGAGAACTTGAAGTTGCATAGTGCATCAGATTACCTATGGCTGCGTGAGGACAGGTGCTGTGAGCTACGCTGAGATAACGCGTCGAATGTAAGCCACTAATTCAACTCAGGATGCAAAGTAGATCTTTGTCACTTATTGTGAAGCATTTCAAAGGGCTATGCGGTTGACTGCGTTCGCTTCAGCACCTAGGTTGTGCCAATGTATGCGGTACATCATGACTAGCCCGCTAATTGCTAGTGGTGCGGCATTCAAGAGAACACGAACCACTCAAGCAACCAAAGCTGATGTCATCGGGAACGCTCAGAAACGTCATGTGCAGCGCAATTGACCGTCATACGACGTGCAGTACAGCACTGCACCAATTTAGAGCGGGCTAATGAAATAGCATCAGTTCTCATCTGCTGGTCCGTATGGTATCGTATGGGACGGGATATTAGCTAACTGGGCGGCTTGCAAATTGAGGATTGTGCAGCCCGTGCAAGCGCGATTGCCATCCGGGTCGATACGCAATAATGACACAAGCAGGTCGAACTCATTAATGGTAAAAATATGAAAGATAAATATCCCCACCGTTTGTTGTGTTTGCTCGAAGTTTGC